GTGGACTCACTCTTTTGTGGACTCACTCTTTTGTGGACTCACTCTTTGGTGGACTCACTCTTTGGTGGACGCACTCTTTCGCAGGTTTTCAACATAAGATTGTACACAACACACGACTGGTTGATTGATGGCGTGAATGGAGCCGCTCGTGTGGCTCACTCAGGTACAAGACGAACCCTCCGCCCCCTCCTTTCTCTTTCTAAGGCTGTCTGTCTTTATTTTTCTCTGCTGTGACAGACAGCCTCAGAAAGAGAAAGGAGGGGGCAGGGGTTGGAGTCCGTCTTTCCCCATTGCTACTGTTCAGGGAGCAGAGATGAACAGATCACAGGAACAAATGTAGAATATCAGAAAAAATGCTTAGGTGGAAAAATAAGAGTTAATCAGTTAAAAAAAAAATGAGAGAGTGGCTGAGCGCAACTCACTCAGGTATAAGACAGACCCCCCCCCCCCTTCTCTTTTCGAGGCTGTTTGTCACAGCAGAGAAAGAGAAAGGAGAGGTGGGGTCTGTCTTCCCCATTGCGTCCCAGATACACACATGCATCAGGCGTGCATGCAACAGCCTCAGAAAAAGAAAGGAGGGGCCGGGGGGTCCGTCTTATACCCGAGTGAGCCACACGAGCAGCATGGATTGTTTATATAAAATAATAAAGTGCGAACGTTGTTAAGAACATTGCAAGAGTATGGGAAGGGTTTATAAAGCCTTAAATATATATACATATATATAAATATATATAAATATATATAAATATATATCGTCCCTACTTGGCGGCTTGTCGTCTGGAAGGTAACCCCCGCGATCAGTGAGGGACTACTGTACAGAAAAAAGTAACGATTTTTAGAAGCGACATTACTCTTCCAACATTTTTCAGTCAGGTCATCTGGACAGTTTCTTTTTTTTGTGCTGAAACGTTTCGCCTTCGGTCCGGAAGACATTACTCTTGTGGCGATAGCCTAACTTAGAAGTTTTCTCTTCATAAAGTGTTTTATTCATTTAAATAATGCAAATGTTTTATGTGCAATTCTGTGAACAGCAAGAAAATGCCATTCAGACCGTGGAGCTGCGCAACTACTTCTCCCTGTTCTGCCTTCATCAAGAGACGCAGCTCATCTTCACCTACCTTCCAGTCACTTCCCACATCCTCGGGGCTTTCGTTAACTCCCAAGTCCGAGGGCACAGAGAGGTAGGACTGTTTGCAGGCTCACCCTTACAACGGTCCACTAACCAACAGATTACTGCTGCGACTGAGGAGATAATCCAGGATTTGAGCCAGCTTCAATTCAGTGCAATCTCATGCATGCATATCCTTTCTATTTCAATACACGTAGAACATGATTCAATACTGCAGTACCAACGCAGGTGACGTGCACTTTTCCTTTTCAGATGGGAGAAGTGTGGAATGAGCTCCAGCCAAAACTCGGGTTTCTGTTTGGTGGTAAAAATGGGCCAAAGCCTCTCGTTTGAAACCTGAAGACACAGGAGGAGAAAGAAACACCGACACATGCTGGAAGATGTAAAGCTCTGAGCTTAAAATACACGAGGAACTATTCCCGACCTTTATACAAACATGCATTTCAGCCTGAAGGAACGTTGGACAATCTGAGTTTATGACCTCTGAGTCCATTATTGGTTGAGTTTATGACCTCTGAGTCCACTATTGGTTGAGTTTATGACCTCTGAGTCCATTATTGGTTG